TCGTATATTTATTATTATTACTTTTGTAAATAAAAGGCATTAAAAATTCAAACTCCGATTCGGCGGAGTTTCAATTTTGCCCAATTTTGTAGGGACACGAAAAGCAAAAGTCATGTGACTATGACACTTCGTCAGAGTTTAAAAATCTCTGCTTAACAGAGTTACTTATGATACACTAATCTCTGTTACTAATTGAAAAAAGTAACACGCCTCATGAAATACCCCTGCTGACGCAGGGGTATTTCATGGGGCATATTACTTTTTTCAATTAGTGACAGAGATTAGCGTATTATAAGTAAGAGGATTATAGTAAAGATAAGCTAATGTGATAAATTGAAATTGAGCAATTTTATAATTCAAGTTCTTTCATAAATCATAAGTAGCTATGCAATATTGTCAACAATCCTTATTATGTAATAAAGAATATATGATTACTATATTCAAGATTTTGTATATGAAAAAACTCAAATTTAACTATACATTTCACTTTACTATGTCATGATTTTATTTAATCTCAATGAATTACAAGATATCGATTTATCATATTAATACACTTGTACCACAATATTTACAGCACTTTTATACTACCATAAATTGACAAAAACATTGGCATATTTTTAGCTTATCTAAGGCATTTAAATCACAAATGTAAAGTAACACAATAATCAATAACTACTTGTCTTTTTTCAAAGAAGCATAATTTAAATAAAGAATTATAGATATAAGTTGGCAAATTTAATTAATATTTATTTATATCTATAGTAGCTATATATTTATTTTATCTAATATATTTTTTACTTTCAAATTTATATATTTTATATTTTATTTTTTATTTTTATTTTTTATTTTTTAATTAAAGGAGACCTTCTTGGTCGGCGATTTTTATTAAGTCAAATTCAGACACTATACATTTAGGCAAAGGTATATCAAGCCACATGTGCACTTTTTGAGTATTTAATTTAAGTAGTCTGCCCAAAGATTCTACACTATCTGCTGCAGTGTTGGCAAATGATCAGTCATTTGACTTTAAATGACCAAATGACCAAAATAATGACCAGGTTATTTATCATCTGGTTATTTAAAAGTAGAAGTTATACAAACATAAATTCAGCAATTTTATTGGCTAGATCTTTACTATACTAATTTTATTTATAAGATTAAACTAATTATTATTATCATAAATTAACTTTAAATTAAGCTATATGAGTACTCAGCTCAAGAGTTTTGTAGCATCATATCACGTATACAAGTATATAAATTCTCAATTAAGTGAATCATCGAAGCTAAATTAGATTAACATCTATAATTGCTTTTTTAACCAATGGACACAATATAGTAAGAAATACAAAAGAAATTCAGATAAATTCATTAATTCTGGAGTCAGTTATTACAATACTGATAAAACTATTCTGGAGAAGAGTCGCTCTAGTATATATTATTTACTTTTTATTTTTATAATTTTTATATTAGGTCATTAGGTCATTTCAACTTTCAAATAACCAAATGACCAATGACCAATTTATTTGGTCATTTAGTTATGTTCATTTAAAATTGCCAACACTGATTTGCTATACCTGCACCCCAACTAGAGGGTACCTATTTAAACCTTCTGATCTTAACATATTTGGCCTAACGCCTATCTTAACACAGGTATAACTCACTATTTAAATATAGGTTTTGCGACACCACTATATAAACAGCAACTTAGGACACTTTACTATCCTCAAAAGTAAGCCCAACAGAGTGGTACATGTCTCATATATGCATTCATCTGCATGTTCTATAATATCTTTCTAGTTAGTACCTGTTGTGCTGTTGACACTAAGTTCATATCTCAAGCTAGCCTTTAGAGTACTGCTGTAACCTGATTCATATCTCAAGCCACAATCTTCCTAATTAGTTTTTCATTACATACTCATTGCCCTTAACAGTTCACAACAACCCTGGTATCTACACTTGGAACTGTCTCCTTACCTGGATTCTCTATTGGTCTCTCCCTTACTTCTAGTCGGCAACCTGAAAGGGTTGGTTTGCTTAGGCTTTAGGTATCTGAAGGACACCCTCCCCTTGATTCATACTTTCAGAGAGTATGCCTTTTTTCTTTAGTGTGACAACCCGGCGGTTTGACTAGTGTGTCCTCTGCTATAGGACCTGGTTGCTCAGTTCTTTAGTTCAAATTCAGCCCTCCTGTGATACTGTCAAAAATCACTGTTATATCCAGATTCAGGACTTCCCAAATAGGTTTTCAGTTATGCCAGTTCCTCAGATTTATTGCACCAAAGCTTCTATTACAAGATAGTGTTATCGAAGTTATAGACTAGTTCTAGATTTAACTAATAAGCATAGCTATCAACCAAACACAGGCCTATTTTTTAAATATCATTGCCAGTGGAATTTGAACTCTAAACCTGCTACTTGGAGAGGGTGACGACTAGACTACTATACTAAATTATCACATCTCTATTTATATATTTTATAATAATATCTATTTAACATATATAGTATATATTTGCTGCACAAAAATAATAATCAGAACAACTCTTTCTGACAATCACTTGGACCAAATTTTTCGATGAAAAGAAATATTTATTTTCTATACTAGAGAGTAGTAACCTGTAGTGAGGTGACTTCAACAGAGTGGTTTTTATAAAGGTTAACCTTTCTCTACTATCAGGGACTCCTTTATATATTTGACATACAATCCAAAAGTATCGGTATACAAGATAACTGGCAGAATATGGTGCTCTTGTATACGAAATTTTGGTGGTTAGGTAGAGGTGATAAAGTCCAAGCCTACCGTCGACAAAGCTATCGGTTGCAAAACAACTGGGGAACAGTAAAGAATAGATTTCTTTTAAGCCACACTCCTTTTTCCTAACCAAGTGGTACCTACTATCCTTTTTCTGCTTCCCTGCCTTTCTTCCAAAATTTTTCGACAAAAAGTGGGGATTTGGCTTACTCTCTCCAAAAGATCGACATTGTTTACTTTTCAAATTCAGATGGACTAGTGGATTGCAACCACGTGTTTGTTTACAGACAGATATGGTGCTACTGCATGGGACTTGGTCCGGGAACTCCAATTACAGCAGAAGGTAGCTTTGATATAGGGCCTTGGACAACAGAGCCATCTGAAGTTAGTGAAAAGGTCAGAAAGTAAATTTTAATATTAAGATGGAGCTTTATCTTTACAAAAGAGATATACAAATGTTGCATTTGTTATATAATTTTTACCAACCTTGCACAGGTTATAATAGTGCCTTTAAGGTCTTAGTTTTCTTTTCATATTTTTTCTTTTTCGAAATCTGTGTTTATTTTTTTCTTTTTGTTTGTTTTTTTTTTTTGGTCTTTTTCATATTTGTTTTGTTTTAAACTTTTCCCTCTTTTGTCTCGTGCTCCTTGAAAAGAAGGAAGAATTAGAATAGAAAAGAGATCCTGAGGTGGGAGCTGAGCCCTGGCTAAACTATATCTTTAAATATGGTACACCATATGTGGGATATAGTGGCCAACATCAGTGCAATAACCAAAGTTAGGCATCTCTAAGAGACAGCTGGCTTTTAGTCTAATTACCTATTAGATAGCTTGGTCTTGTATTGAGCATTATACATTTAATAAAATTTTAGTACATGGTTATCAAAGGAAAAAAAAAAGATATTCTTGAATATACTATATGTTATATGGCTTATAAATCAAATAAGTCTTAAATAAGCTAATAGAGATGTAGAATAGGCCTAATTGAGCTGGCTCAATTTGGAACACTAGTAAGTAATAAACTCTAAGCCTATTAGCAGATAGTATATAAGAACTACCTTTAAATATCAGGTGCTAGTTTATAGTTCTGCTCAATCTTATGTTTTTTTACTATTCAACTATAGTTTATTATTATTTTATCAAAAAGTTTAGTTGTAAATTTTGGTACAAGGAATTGTTAGGAAAAGTTAATATGCAATAGCAATATATATATTACTATATATAATATATAGGGCTGTTGAAGTAGAAAGGGCCAAAACTCGAAAATATATAATCTTGAGAAAATCATGTTTATTTTTTTAGGCTGATCTAGGTTAATTGGAAATTATGTGATTTGATTGCTGGCTATATTGGGTAATCTTGTGACATACAAGGCTTCTAAAAAGTTTTTTTAAAATATCTTAATTTTTTATTATGCAAACCAATTTTCATTTTTAATTGAAAAGTATAGCTCACCTCAAGATTAATTAGAATCTTGAAAAAACTCAAGTTTGATTTTTAGAGAGTTTGGGCCCTTTCTACTGCAACAGCCTCATATAGTATCTCTTAATATATAAACTAATGCAAACAAATTTGTCTGTATTTTTGCACTTTTTTTAGCTCTAATTTATTTTTATTAAAATACTAAAAATTTAAATAAAACTTTGTACAATTATATTTGAAAATAAGAATTATTTTTTTGCAAAATTAGTTTTTATAATATAAGAAAAAAAGTTTAGGTTGCTTATAAGCTAAAAATAAATAAATTTTAAAAAAAATTTAATCAAAAAAATAATTTAATAAAGACCCGATTGGCTGAAATTGTTCAAAATTTCAAAATTAGTAATACTAAAAAAATAAATTTATTTTTTATATTTATTTTTTACATTTTTATTTTTGCAATATAGCTTATTAATTAAAAATAAACCACGATGGGAAGTTAATAGATAAAGTTTATGAATGATTAAGCAATTGTATTGCAGGAATATAATAGGTTTAGTTATCTCCAGTTAATTATACTTAATCATAAATTATTATATATTTCCTTAATTTAATTTCAAATTTTAAAATTGATTTGTTATTAATAAGTAGTACTATAAATATGTAAATTTCCTGGTTTTTTTTTTTTTTTACAATATCCTGTGATATAAATAGTCTATTTCCTGACTAGTTTTCTGCTCTGCATCGGAAATTAATGTCGTAGAAATTCGAAATTGCCTTTCTTTTTTTTAAAAAAGGCCTTACAGATTAAAAGTTCATCAATATATGACAAATTAATTCATATTGTCACGGGAAGAGATTCTTTTATCATGCATTTCTTGCCGAAATACTTTTTTTCGTTTTCCATTATTAAAAAATCGCAATATCAAAGACTCCCTAGAAAGTTTGTTTCCAGAATGTTTTAATGCAGATTCCAAGCTTTCTGATTTGCTTAAATCTGCACAATTCTCCAATAACCACCTCATATAATCAGGTTTTCTTTCAGAGGTTACTAAACTCAAGACATTCCGTTGTTTACTATCCTTCATGTTAACATAACATCCCTTTTTGCATATTTGTAAAAGTATATCCGTTGGCCAGTCATAATGTATAGCCATAAATAGTGCAGTCGGTGCTTCAAATGTATAAAATATACTCTTGATAGAACATCCTTCATTTGGATCAGCACCACACTCGAGTAGTAAAGAAACTATTTCTTTTTTTTCTTCAGGCTTTATAGCATAAAATTGATCTATCATATAAAATGTTAATATGGTTTTTCCTTCATAATCTCTGGCATTAATGTTACAATTGCGTTGAACATCATCATAACTTGTGACGCAATCGACATATTTTCTTACACCACCACTTCTCTCTGTTACATCCTTGCGTAATGCCGTATTATCAAATAACCGATGTAATGCTGTTTTTTGTGTTTTTGGGTCGAATTTTGAAAATTTTGCTTTATAATCTTTTAGACACTTTAATATCGATATTAGTTTTCTTCCTGAACAATACGTCGATGCTATTAGTACTAAGGGCTCTTGCTTATCTGCGAATTCAAAATAATTAGAGTCAACAGGAACGGGGGAGCTGTCTAGATGATACTGTAGTCCAACTACATCACCATAGCCTACGTGATAACCCGCACCACAGCTCTCTGGTCCAGTATATGTGAAGTGATATTCATCAGCATGCCTTGCAAGAATCTCCATACATGGACGCATAGATGAATATAACTGAATGCGAAAATGATGAAATTGAAATTTATCGTGAATTCTAATTCACAAAACATAAAAAATAGTACTTAATAGAGTATTACTTACACGAGGAACAGAGAACTGAGCTTGTTGTAGAGTTGGACGCTGATAGATTTGCATATTTACAGGATTAAAAGGTCGTGGAAGTGGTCGTGGATAGAGAACTATTGGTTGAGACGGTGTAGTTCCAGCTATATAAATGCTTTGTTGACCTGGGGATTTCATAGGTACGTATTGCTGATTTACGTTACCTATCGGGTTATTATGTGGTATTTGCATCGGTTGATTATACTGCTGATAATTAGGATTTTGTTCTTGATACGATCGTTGAACATACTTCATTTTTAGATTATTATAGTTTGCAGGTGACTTTTCATATTTGCACATCTTTTCATAAGCACATTTACGATTGTGTACTGTGGTTGCGTTATTTGGATTAATTTCTAATGATTTATTAAAATCTGCGAGCGATTCTTCAAATCTACCCATATCTTGATAAGTTAATCCACGATTACTTAATGTAATTGCATTATTTGGATCAATTTTTAGTGATTTACTATAATCTGCAAGCGATTCTTCATATCTACCCAAATTTTTATAAGTAAAGCCACGGTTACTTAACGTAGCTGCATTATTTGGATTAATTTCTAATGACTTATTAAAATCCACAAGTGATTTTTCAAATTTACCCATGTTTTGATAAGTTAAACCACGACTATTTAATGTAATTACATTATTTGGATCAATTTTATATCTTCCCAACTTTTTATAGGTAAAACCACGATTACATAATATAGCAGCATCATTTGGATTAATTTCTAGTGACTTGCTAAATTCTACAAGTGATTGCTCATAGCTGCCCAAATAATGATAGGTTAATCCACGATCATTTAACACATTTGCATTGCTTGGGTCAATTTTTAATGACATATTAAAGTCTTTAAGTGACTCTTTATATTTGCCCATCTTTTGATAAGCTCTTCCGCGCTTATTTAATCTATTCACGTCATCTGGATTAATTTCTAATAATTTATTAAGACTTGCAAGTGATTTTTCGTAATTTCCTAATTTAAAATAAGTTCTTGCACTATTTCTTAATACCTCTATGTTATTTGCTTCAGCTTCTAATAATTTACCTAAATTTTGGTGTTCTGTAGATCCTTTTCTATATTTAATCTGATAATTTTCAGCATTATCGTTATGGCAATCTTGACGTAAATATTAATGAGCAGCTATGGGTAAAATAAATAATAATAATAATAATAATAAGAGTTAATAAATTTGTAACCTCGGTTATTGTAACCGCGTCTAAAAAAGAGGTGTAACGTCAAAAACCATTTTTTTTAAAAAAACCATTACCGTATTTTACCGATAATAAGCACCCCTTCGGATGAATTTTCATACCCAAAATTCTCGTGATATAATGATTGGATCAGGGTGATTTTGGTACCATTCGAATCACCTTAATGAGATGATTCGAATGGTATCAAAATCACGCTGATCCAATCATTAGATCACGAGAATTTGGTTATGAAAATTCCTCCGAGGGGGTGCTTATTATCGGTAAAATACGGTAATAACTCAATTTTGACTACGAAATCATCTTTTATATTTTAACAAAAAATTCATTGTTAAATTTGATATAAACTATGCTAATTTCCCAACCCTAACCTTAGCCGCAAAGTTTTGTTTTTATATAAAAAAAATGGGTTGATACACCTGATCTTACAAAACAATTAATTCTACAATAATCATAATGATATTAAAATTTCAATAAAATAGAACCAACCTGTTGAACCTATGCCTCGAACAAAATCACCATTGCTGGCATCACTTAGTATAGACAAGTCAAAATCCAAATTAACATAAATTGACGTATCTATATTATTATTGTTATTTTCATTATTATAAACTGGATCCATTTGTATTTGGTTTAATTTATCACAGATTTTAGCTATGTTAGAACGTAAATTTGGATTGGCATTCCAAGCATCACAATAAAGATTCACAAAGTCAAGAAGAGTTCCATTAATTGGAGTTTCTCTTTTGCCAGAAATCACATACAATATTGTATTCGGCATATTTTTAAAAGGAGGAACACCACTCGATAACTCCCAAAAAAGTACACCAAGACTATAGATATCCGAAGGTTTTTTGCGTTTATAATTGGTTGGATCATCAAGGTATTTTGGATCAGTATAAGCAAAATTTCCAGCATCATTAACTGACAATGAGTTACTTTCTAGTGATTTTGATAAACCAAAGTCAGTACACCATTATGCACTAATACATTCCTATCATGCTAGAAAATGATTAAATTATTAAATTCAGTATTTTACTATAGTATGTATACGATTAAAAAATAAAAGAACGGTGATGGGCACAACAGGAAATTTTGAGATAAGTCATGTGGTATTTTTAAAATAATTTAGATTAGCATGCCTTAATTAAATAATTCTATTTATAATTTAGTTTATTACCATTATTTCAGGCTTTTAAAAGCCGCAAGAAATTTGATACCTCTACTGTTGATCGATATAACCTGCCCATTACTTGGCTAGTGATGTGGTAGTGATGTCCTAATGATATTACGGCTTAAGCTGTAATCAGCTAAAGCTTAGTTAAAGCAATCAATAGAACGATTCTACCGCGTCACTATACTTGACAGAAAAGTGAAAATATTCTTACAAGATTACGATGAACAATATTCGCATTATGCAAGCATTTTACTCCGCTAGAAATTTCCTTTGCCATTCTAATTTTAGTTTGCCAATCTAATTCTAGAAAATGATCATGTAAATAGCTTCGAAGATCTCCATTATTTGCAAACTTAAAAACCATGTAATATGCATTAATTGTTGGATCTACAATAATTGAATCAAATTCATCGATTGGATAAAAACGTATGTTATCATATTACATATGTTGAGTAACCCCAAAGAATCCTGTTACATTTTCATGATAATTGACTTCAGTAATGTTTTTAATCTTATTTAATGGTATAATAAATGGGCTTAATGACATATAAGAGTTAACAAAAGGTATAAATAAATTCACATACTTCTCTTTCGAATTCACGAAACGAATCTTCATTCTTGCTTGTGGAATTATTATGTAACTCTTTTAAAGCCACTACTTGGCCTATATCATTAGAATGAGCCCTAAACACATTGCCAAACCCTCCTTGACCGATTATTTCCAAATTCTCAAAAGATCCATACTCGAACAATTAATATATTTTCGTTCGACAGCAACTTTAAACCAATCTGACATATATGCCATAGTGCGCGTTTATTTAATATCCACAATGCTAATATTACAGAAAAGTAAATCTCTTTATAAAAATATTTTAATATAGTGAGGCGGAAAATTTTGAATTATTGTCATATGTAAAAGGCTTTTTAAGTGAATCAAGTATTCTTAAATCGGCATTAGTAAAAAGAAGTCATGTGCTTAAAACGGTCAAGATTTTTTTGAATTAAATATCTAATATTATATAAGAATACAGTCGACTCTGGATATACCGAACCTGCCTATACCGAAATCGGCTATAACTAGGGTTGTTAACTTACATGTAAATTTACTGTATGTAAATTTATTGTAACTGATATAAATTACCTTGTAAGTTATGTAAGTTATGTATGAGATTTAATACTTCTGTGTAATAAAAAAAAAACAGAAATTACGTATAAATAACGTAAATCACTTGTTATATAAATTTCACTTAATGCCAGTAGAAATTATCACATGATTCGGCCGGCTTTAGTATATAAATTG